TTCAGCACTCAGAGCCCAAAAGGTTAGCTATCACTGATTTATGCCATTTCTGAGTCTGATTCACTGATTTTTAAAATTATAGCAAGAGGATTGATGAGACAAGGCCTTTTCTGTTGTGGTACCCCACAACTGAAATAGCTTCCCAATGAAGATATCCTTAATTTTATGACTGCTCACTTTTCAATGAACTGGAATGAAAATTTAATTTTGGTGGGTTTTCCTCAGCTATCGATCTAAATAAGGCTTAGACTATAGTCACGATATGGCTCAACAGCAGCCAAATGGAGGCGCAATTGAACTATTTTAAATGAATAATCAAGTTTTATGCTAAACACACGCACTGGCTTCCGTGTGCACGCGCACACACACAAACACACACACACACACACACATTTTGGGCTTAGCTCACTAGTTTCATTCACATAGCAACTATAGACACAATTTTCAGAGACTTTAGTGCTGACAAAACTACAATGATCTATCTTAGACATTGATAATCTAGGCAAAATGGGGAAGTATGGCTTTGTGTGAAGTGCAATGCTTTTCACACACACACACACACACACACACAAACACACACACACACACACACATTTTGGGCTTAGCTCACTAGTTTCATTCACATAGCAACTATAGACACAATTTTCAGAGACTTTAGTGCTGACAAAACTACAATGATCTATCTTAGACATTGATAATCTAGGCAAAATGGGGAAGTATGGCTTTGTGTGAAGTGCAATGCTTTTCACACACACACACACACACACACACAAACACACACACACACACACACACACACACAACATACACACATACAGGCCTATAGGGCTAAAAATGCAGGCAGTTACAATTATTTATATTGCCTTCACGCAAAACTGGTAATTATGTGGGAAGAGCATAGGAACACACTTACTACATCTTCCCAGAAACCACAGTTCATATGTGCAATCCTTCCTCTCACCATTAAATGAGCCTCCCAAATATTTCTGAGGGAGGAGACTTGTTCTAGTTGTCCAGAATTACTCCTAGTAAGAGTCATGGGACTGGAATTTTGCTAGAGGACTGAACCCTGTGTTACTTAAGAAGGCATGATGGCACATGCCCTCATCTAATTGTGCCTGCCAATTTAATAGGAAACATGGCAGCGATCGCTGTTTTACAGCAACGGCAAACATTTCATGAAACTCTGCCAAATAAAAAAGTAATTCTTAAAAGGCTTTGGCACTATAAGCACCTTCCCAAGGAAACAGTAATAAAACTCTCGGTTGACTCAATTTCTATATTGCAGTGTTTTATAACAGTGCAGTATGAAATGTTTAAAAAATATCCTCCAGTATGAAAGATCCCTTTAGACAATAGCAAAGCTAAGTATTGCAGCAGTTGACAATTTTAACATCATTTTGGAAGAAAAGAAAAGAAATGAAAAAAGAAAAGAAAAGAAAAGGTACATTTATCCTTAAAACATAGAAAGGGACAATGTGTCTGTGTGCGTGTGTGAGTGTGTGTTACAAAAGAGAAACAACTTGAATATAGGTAACATTAAACGTTAGCACATGAAAATTAGGGTGGAAAAAATCTGTCTCAATGTGACTCAGTATTTGGGAGCAAAATGGGATAAAGTAAAATGAATCAAATATAAGTACAGTACAGTCTGCTAAATCAGTCTCTGAGATTTTTCAGCCCCAAGGGGCAGATCTCAAGCTGGAAAAATGTTAGGAGGCTGGGAAAAGAGATTTTAGTATTTTCCTGATATAAATTGCATACTTTGCTTCTTGTTGCTAAAATAACATAAATCTATTTGGCTGTCAGTAAATGAATTAAGTAGCACTACAGCTGGCTTATGATCAACTGCAAAGGCAAACTGGAGCTTTAACTTGGCTGAAGGGTTTGCTTCTTAGTTGCAGAATTAAGATTTATATCCTTTCCCATTGTTTCAGCAGAATAAACATTTGAATTTTTAAACAGTAGTGCTCCAACAATATGGATGCAATGGAAGACGTTTTCTACTCTGCCTGGCAAACTCATTCATTTTGGCATCTTAGCCATTCTTGAGAACAGTTTGTTATCTAAAGAATATCCTGGAGTTTTCAGCATTCCCCTGGCTTTTTGCTTTCATTGCCAGAATGGTACAGCAATCATTCTGTTGATCCTTATTTACATTCATAACCATGCATGTTACACAAGAATTCCCAGAACCTGCAAATTTTGGTATCTGTGACAAATCTCACATGATAGAGTATTACTTATATAAGCATGTAGCCACCAGCAAGTGGGCAAAGGCCCCGTTCATCTATAGGAAGCTTTTTTGCTTCGCCAGTAAGCACAATCCAATTCTTGGGATGATGCTGGATCAGGAATAGTATCTGTACAATTCTATTTTCACTAGATACATCATGCTAGAATTCAAAAATAGCAAGGGCATTGCCTTAAATGGGCTTCGGAGATCCAAGGGTGCTTTATGAGTAGCTGGGAACTAGAATTAGGAAAATATTTATTCATCATGTAGAAAATAGTGCCTTCTCCACCTCATCAAAAGCTGCATAGGGCTTTATCCCCTATTGCCTTGGGCTACCTGCAATGCATCTCTAGCAAATACAGAAGCAGTTATCGCCTGACCTATGGCGATATCCACATCAGTGCTGTGATTTTCTGTTTCCTTCTGAAACCCTGTATGTTCTGTGTTGCTTCAAAACTACAGCAACATGCAGAAATGTTTGCAATATAACTCCTCTGGAAAAGAGAAAAGCATCAACTCTTTAGAAGAAAACCAAGGCAAAGAGTTCATTTCTGCAGCCCTGGGGGGAAAGTCCATCCATGATGTAATGAGGCCCATTTGATCATAATTGCCAGCCCTTCCTGAAGTTCCCATATAATAATAGAAAACATTTGACTGATTGAAACATATGAAAAAACAACTTCTTTGGCATTTAAAGTTCTGATTAACCATTCCCATGAGTCTGAAGTCCTGGACTTCAGCCTATCCCTGATAAATAAATGGGGGGAAATTATTCCTTTAAATAATACTTTGTAAGTGAAATAAGTGGCTTGAATATACTGAGTATATATTGACTATAATCGTTGGGCCTTACGATACATAATTCATTGTTCAGCTGCCCAAACTCTCAGCTCTAAAAACTCAGTGGGGAAGTTTACAGGCAGAAGGTGGAGATTTAACAGCTCACAATCTCCATGGAGGTCTTCCATATCCAAAACCTTGAGGGACTCTCCCAGGCAAGACACACAGTGCCAGGTTAGAGGGGCCGATGTCTGGCATGTGACAACTTTTGAAAGTGTGGAATAGAAACTGGAATAAAATAACTGAATCTTCAGATGTCCTCCAGACTCTGTATCAAAATGCCTCTTTTAAATTGTGTCCCAGCCCACTCCACGTGAAATTGAAGCCAGTGCTACTTTCCACTTGCCTGACCATCCTCGGCCTTGGGGGAGTGGGACCAGTCAGGAGATGGGCCTTCTTCCCCTGCCCAACACAGAGGGCCCTTCATCCATTCTGAGCAAACCTCTTCCAACATCTCTGCTCAGATCCTGGGTGTGGATTGAGTGAGCCCTTTTGCGTCTATCAGAATTGAAGTTGCAACAGACAGACGTGCCTCCCCTCCACCTTCCATCCCCAAAAGGAAGCGACTTGTGGTTTCATGAGGCAACTGGCAAGATGACACTGACAATGGCAAAAGTCCAACTCCTGATAAGGATTTCAGCAGCAGCAAGACACTCTTGGAAGGATTGCAGCATCTCTGCTTTCGGGGAGTGGAGCCCAAAATCTGTCCTCGCTCCCTCACCCTTTGTGTTTGCTATTTCATCCGTTCCAAGGCAAGCCTGCTTCGTTGTAAGGAAAGAGTGAGGAGTGAGGGAGCTGCAGCTCAGTTCAGCAGACCGATTTGGAGATATATTTTTTTCCCCCAACATAAGCAAGCTGACTGCCAAACCTGAATTGCCAGCAGGGAAAGGGACTAAGCAACTGCTTTAAGTTTCAGCCTGTCTGTGGTGCAGGTTTTTCAAGTCACACACACACCTGCCTGTCACACACACACACTTTCTCTCTCTCTCTTCCCTCTCTCACTCATTCATACACACTCACACACATCTAGGGATAAAGGTGCTGTCTGAGTTTCCTGCCTCTGTAGGTACCTTCATTGAGGACTTTGACTTTCCAGAGAAGATCTCCTGAGGGCCAGGTAAGTACCAGACTGAGCAACAGATCTTGCTTACTTGAACCCAGAGTATCTCTGCTCCTGCTTCTCCAGTGCAGTGGGGCTTGTGCACCTTTATGCAGAAGGATCTAGGAAGGGAAGCAAGTTTAAAGGTTTCAAATCCTGTATTTTAAGAGCAGGGATTGTCAACTTTTGCTGCTGGTGTTACAAGTATGTATAATCTTTATTGCCATTGTACTTAAATGCAACAAAATTGGTTGACCTTTTTAAAATAAAGCTTCCCAGAATAGCAAAAGCCAAAAATAAAACTGATGCAGGTTTTTTTCTAACATCTTTGCCAGTTCAGTTTTGACAGGGAAGCAATGCAGGGAAGGAAAGCAAACAGCAGAGAAAGGGAGAGGTATGGGACACACTTGTGGATGTTTATATGAAAGTGAGGGTTTGGGTAGGGCTTGCTCCATCATGCGTGTGTTTAGTGTTTAGTATCTAGTGTATTTTAGGATTGACATGAAAGGTATTAATGTGATTTTATATACTAGGAAATTTTGTACCTTTGATATTTGAAAGGCAAACAAGTTCAGAACATTCCCACTTCAAGAAGGAAATGTCATTTCAAAATAGGGATTTCAATTTTTAATTCAAAAATGTCCAGGGTCTTGTTTTCAACCAGTTATATTTGAGTAGTAAAATTAGAAATCTGACATTACATTGTTTCAGAATTCTATTTATTGTTGTCTATTCTCCTGGCAACTTCATGGGAGCCCTTCATTCTGAGGAAAAAAACCTGTAAACTTAATTAGTTAAAAAGGGTTCATTTATGAGGAATCCATTGAGGTGGGTGGTGAGCTAGGAAGGCAAATGGACAGGATAATCTGAAGGCCTACATTTTGTAATATAGTTTTTTGTTGGGGTACAGTTTGTCTGACTCTGTTGACCTCCAGTTCTTCTGCATGGCTTTTTTTTGTTGTTAACAAACTAGGGTAGTGCCATAGGGATTTTTAATTACTATAATTGTCTATTTCAAACATGAAAGTAGTGATGATGCTGTGTTATGATTGTCTTTTATTTTTGGTATATTATTGTTTATCTTGCACACTACACAAATAATTGTAAGATTGCTGGAACTTAAATCTCATATGAATCCTGCTCCATCATTTCCACAGTGCAGGAATTGTCAACCACAACTTTTTTCCGAAAGTTTCTTTGCAAAACTCAGAGTTCTTTCTCTATCTATATAGTTGTGGCATGGCACACATTTTACACATGAATAGCTACTAACCATCAAATGCCATTAAGTAAGCAAGCATCTCCATGTTGCAGGTGATTCAAAACCTTCAGCATGCACAAATAACTGATTTTTCTACCCCTATCAGTGCTATCTTAAAGAAAAGAGGGATCTTCCATAAGTTGTGTGGTAAGAAATGTCACACAGTAGTAATATGGCAGAAATTGATGTATTTCTGTAAAGCTTCTCATAATGATAATCTGGCCAGAAGGGTGACAAAGCAAGAAATAAACAGGCTAAGAATAGCAATTGAAGCAATGAGTTACCGCATGATCCAAAGAGTAAAATATTGTGATGATTGCTGTAAGGTGGCAGAGATGAGAGAAAGTGGCCTTATTCAGGCATGGCCAGGTCCACTTCTGATTCCGGGAAGAAGAAAAGAGAGTGCATCTAAGGACAGTTTTGTTTCCTAGGGGAATTAGAATCTTCCCATTGTTTCTACTGAATAGGCGCTGACTAAATACATGCCAGTCAAATGGGTTCTTTCACCAGCAATATTTGTTGAAGGCTCTCCTTCCTGTCCCATGGGCAGCTTCTCCAAGTTGTGACCCAAAAGTGAAACTTAAGAAGCAAGTTAGTGAGAAAAATGGAGGGCACCAGAGGTGTATACAGAGATTTCTGCAAATATAATTGAGAGGATTCAGAATAACGGAGTTGAAAGGGACTTTGGAGCTTTTCTAGTTCAATCCCCTGCTCAGGCAGGAGACCCTATAACATTTCAGACAAGTGGTTGTCTAATCTCTTCTTAAAAACCTCCAGTGATGGAGCAGTAACAACTTTTGGAAGTAAGTTGTTCCACTGGTTGATTTTCTCACTGTCAGGAAATTTCTCCCTAGTTTTAGGTTGCTTCCCTCCTTGGTTAGTTCCCATTCATTGCTTCTTGTCCTGTCTCTGGGTGCTTTGGAGAATAGGTTGAACCCCTCTTCTTTGTGGCAGCCGCTTAGATTCTGGAACATGGCTATCATGCCACCCCTAATCCTTCTTTTTATTAGACTAGACATACCTAATTCCTGTAACCATTCTTCATATATTTTATGAATCGAGATCTTATTTCAAAAGTGCCTTGCTGGGTGGATATGATAGGAGGCCAAACTGGGGCTGTAAAATTCCAGAAGACATCACCTGGCAACTCCCTAGTTATTAACCTGATTTTGGCAGCCCAGATTGGGGAGCTCTAGCCAGTGCTGATTGTAGCTGGAGATCCAGCTTCAGAGCTCTCTTCAGATTTCAGAGGCCTCTTCAGAGTTGCCACTAACATGTATATCTGAGAACTATATATAGTTGTCCTGATATACTCACCCTTCCTTTTCCCTTTATCATAATCTGATATAACTGTTGTTCGTAGCCATGGCTTTGCTAGGGCTGAAACATTAGGGGGGAGGGAAATTAATGTATAGTACTGAGAGTGTAGAGCACTTATAGGGCTGAAATCTATGGCTAGTTCCATGGCATCTCCCTCTACAGCCATAGACTATTTTCTGCAACCAGTTGCAAAAATAATAGTATTGTACACCTATTTCAGGGGAACTGGAGGATTGCCTGGAAATTTTCAATGAGAGCCTTCCAACTTGCCTGCATTTCCCTCCAAGAGCCCTTGATTTCTTGCTTTCCCACCAAATGCAGTAAACAAAAAGATCACCTTCTGGTCTAGATAATGCTGACCTTGTTAGAGGTAATTGTTTGGTCCGAGGAAGCAATTTCACATTTTCCAAAACACGTGTGTCTATGTGGGTGCTTGAGAAGACAGATAGACAAAGAGAGACGGAGAGATATCTCCTCGGGCTGTCTCATTGGATGACCTCTCTGTCTGTTACTGGAGTAAGAGAATAGAATGTTGCCATTTAAAGCAGTTCTTATGTGTTTTTGTGCGAAATCTAACAGTTATTTTCTCTGTAAAGAGTCCTCAAACAAGACTCATATTGCTCATATAAGCTGTAGGGCAGCTGCAGGACAGCTGCACACTGGAGGAAGGCTTTGTGTTCTCTAAACAATTGTTTCCCGAAGTACAGGTAGTCCTTGAATTACGAGCCCAAAATTTTCTGTTGGTCAGCAAGAGCTGTCAAGTGAGTTTTGCCCCATTTTACAACCTTTCTTGCCACAGCTGTTAAATGAATCACTGCCATTGTTAAGTTAATAACACAGTTGTTAAGTGAATCTGCCTTCCCCGTCGGCTTTGTTTGAAGGTGATCCTGGAACACTGCAACCATCAGAAATACATGTCAGTTGCCACGCGGCCAAATTTTGATCACATGACCATGAGGATGCTACAACAGTCATAAGGGTGAAGAATGGTCATAAGTCGCTTTTTTCAATGCTGTTGTAACTTCAAACAGCCACTAAATGAATAGTTGTAAGTCGAGGACTGTCTGTACCATGTTCCACCTCTTTCCCTAAATAGGTGATGGAAGAATGCCTGTTTACAGGATGAACTATTTACTAGGCAAGATCCTCACCCACTACTACTACTATGGGGGTTCTTCCTGGTTCATCCCTAGCTACCTTTTAAGCAAGTAAACACTAGTGGGGCCTCACACCAGAGGTGGGTTGATCCCGGATTGGACTGGATCAGCCGAACCGGTAGTAGTGATGGTGTGAGGCTCCATCCACCACCACCCCCCAGACTCTTCTGCGCATGCACAGAAGCATCACGTGCACGTCCGAGAGTGCACAACCGAACTGGTAGTAAAACATTTGGAAACCCACCACTGCCTCACACCTTGGAAAACAAGGATGAGGATGAATTGCAGAAAACCAGATTGTTGATATCCCTTTATCAGCAGTTCGATCTGCTCTAATTACTCAGTTACAAGTTTATTATCAAAACAAGTTTCCTTTAACTTCTGCTTAACAAAAAGGGGCAGAAGGCAGTCACACCATGTTTTCTTCTGGCCAAACTAGTATTTTAATATCCCTGGACTGGCAATGCAAAAGCAAGCAAAAAATGGGCCCGGGTACACCACCACATCCTGACCTGAATCCTGTGCAATTCAAAAACTTTTACTACCGGTTCTGTGGGTGTGGCTTGGTGGGCGTGGCAGGGGAAGGATACTGTAAAATCTCCATTCCTACCCCACTCCTGGGAAGTTTACTGCAAAATCTCCATTTCGTCCCAATCAGCTGGAACTCAGGAGGCAGAGAATAGATGGGGGCGGGGCCAGTCAGAGGTGGTATTTACTGGTTCTCCGAACTACTCATAATTTCTGCTACCGATTCTCCAGAACTGGTCAGAACCTGCTGAATATCACCTCAGATCCTGACCCTACCAGCGGGTCCATCCCCTCTACCATCCACAAGTGTAATCAGTTCCATCTTAATACTGTTGTATATCCTGGCCTGAAATTGACTATGATGGGACTTCTTCTGAAACACTGTGAAGATTTAGGCCTTCCATTTTCTCAACTATTTTCCCCAAGAAGAGAACTGGAACACCATTGTTCAGCACTCTAGTCTCAGTTTTGTTCCATTACTCTCCTCAATCACTCCAGAAAGGAAAAATAATAATTTAGGACTAAGTTATGCATCATACATTTAAGTATGGGCCACAAAATTGAAAGTCACAATATCAAATAAAGAGCAGTCCCTTTCCAATTTATTGTTCCAGAATTCTATATTTCAGTCAAGACTTTTACAAGACAAGCTTAACCCACAGAAATATGTGCTCACCGAGATATGTGGACACATTGACATGGGTTCCTTGGTAACAAGACAGAAATGGTTTGCCACTGCTTTCTACTGGGTA